ATCTGATTAATAGGGTGATTATACGATTACCGCTCTGAGCTAGGCTTTAGACAAACAGAAAGAACATTCAATTCACGCAATGATTGAGGTTAGGTGCCGCAGACATAAAGACTTGTTATTTAATATCCAGAGACGGATTCATGTATTGGGGCCACATTTTATTAATAGGACGTGGAACGCTTTCACTCTATGCAAGGCTTTAGACAAGCAGAAACCGGACATATTAATTTGCCTTAGCGCAATGGATGTAGTTTCTTACCTCGATAACTTATACTTATCTTAGCGTAACAATTTTTGCATATATCATTCCTGACCCTCACCCTGACTTCGTCATCCAAAAATTGACGTCAATGCGAGTGTCACAATACGAAAATCGAGCTTGCCAATAATAGCGACATAATGCGCAATCGTGATAAATACGCCTGGTTGTCCTTGTATAGGGTGGAGTTTCGTACCTCATAACTTCAGTTAACTTAGCGTAACAATTTTTTGGCCAGCGTAATATTCCTGACCCTCACCTGATTTGTATCGTCAATAAAAATTACGTCAATACGACGTCACAATAACGAAATAGAGGCTTGCCTAAATAGCGACGATTACTGGTAATGGCCCCTATTGGATGTACGTGTTTCTGTACACTCAATAACTTTTAATTATTCTTAGCGTAACAATTTTGCATATAAACATTTCTGACCCTCACCTGACTTCATCATTCCCAAAAATTACGTCAATGCGACTTCACAATAACGAAATAGAGCTTGCCTAATAATAGCGACCATAATGCAATCGTGATAAATACGCCTGTCTGTCCGCTATGGGTGTAGTTTCATACCTCAATACCTTCTATTAGGCTTAGCGTAACAATTTTTGTATATATGATTCCTGACCCTCACCTGACTTCGTCATCCAAAAATTACGTCACTGCAACGTCACAATCACGAAATAACGCTTGCCAATAATAGCGACGATTACTAGTAATGCCACCTATGATGTAGTTTCTTACCTCAATAACTTATACTTATCTTAGCGTAACAATTTTTGCATATAATATTCCTGACCCTCACCTGACTTCATCATCCAAAAATTACGTCAATGCGAATTCACAATAACGAAATAGAGCTTGCGTAATAATAGCGACCATAATGCAATCGTGATAAATACGCCTGTGTGTCCGCTATGGGTGTAGTTTCATACCTCAATAACTTCTATTAGGCTTAGCGTAACAATTTTTGTATATAAGATTCCTGACCCTCACCTGACTTCGTCATCCAAAAATTACGTCACTGCAACGTCACAATAACGAAATAGAGCTTGCCCAATAATAGCGACGATTACGTAATGCCACCTATGGATGTAGTTTCTTACCTCAATAACTTATACTTAGCGTAACAATTTTTGCATATAATATTCCTGACCCTCACCTGACTTCGTCATCCAAAAATTACGTCATGCGACTTCACAATAACGAAATAGAGCTTGCCAATAATAGCGATGATATTCGTAATGTCCGCTATGGATGTAGTTTTACCTCAATACTTCTAGTTAACTTAGCGTAACAATTTTTGCATATAATATTCCTGACCCTCACCTGACTTCGTCATCCAAAAATTACGTCACTGCAACGTCACAATAACGAAATAGAGCTTGCCAATAATAGCGACGATTACTTAATGCCACCTATGGATGTAGTTTCTTACCTCAATAACTTTATATCTTAGCGTAACAATTTTTGCATATATATTCCTGACCCTCACCTGACTTCGTCATCCAAAAATTACGTCAAGCGACTTCACAATAACGAAATAGAGCTTGCCTAATAATAGCGACCATAATGCAATCGTGATAAATACGCCTGTGTGTCCGCTATGGTGTAGTTTCTTACCTCAATAACTTCTATTACTTAGCGTAACAATTTTTGCATATATATTCCTGACCCTCACCTGACTTCGTCATCCAAAAATTACGTCACTGCAACGTCACAATCACGAAATAACGCTTGCCAATAATAGCGACGATTACTAGTAATGCCACCTATGATGTAGTTTCTTACCTCAATAACTTATACTTATCTTAGCGTAACAATTTTTGCATATAATATTCCTGACCCTCACCTGACTTCGTCATCCAAAAATTACGTCACTGCGACTTCACAATAACGAAATAGAGCTTGCCTAATAATAGCGACCATAATGCAATCGTGATAAATACGCCTGTTGTCCGCTATGGGTGTAGTTTCTTACCTCAATAACTTCTATTACTTAGCGTAACAATTTTTGCATATATATTCCTGACCCTCACCTGACTTCGTCATCCAAAAATTACGTCACTGCAACGTCACAATCACGAAATAACGCTTGCCCAATAATAGCGACGATTACTAGTAATGCCACCTATATGTAGTTTCTTACCTCAATAACTTCTATCTTAGCGTAACAATTTTTGCATATAATATTCCTGACCCTCACCTGACTTCGTCATCCAAAAATTACGTCACTGCGACTTCACAATAACGAAATAGAGCTTGCCTAATAATAGCGACCATAATGCAATCGTGATAAATACGCCTGTGTGTCCGCTATGGTGTAGTTTCTTACCTCAATAACTTCTAGTTAACTTAGCGTAACAATTTTTGCATATATATTCCTGACCCTCACCTGACTTCGTCATCCAAAAATTACGTCACTGCAACGTCACAATAACGAAATAGAGCTTGCCAATAATAGCGACGATTATAGTAATGCACCTATGGATGTAGTTTCTTACCTCAATAACTTCTAGTTAACTTAGCGTAACAATTTTTGCATATAATATTCTGACCCTCACCTGACTTCGTCATCAAAAATTACGTCAATGAATTCACAATAACGAAATAGAGCTTGCCAATAATAGCGATGATATTCGTAATGACACCTATGGATGTAGTTTTTACCTCAATAACTTATAGTTAACTTAGCGTAACAATTTTGCATATAATATTCCTGACCCTCACCTGACTTCGTCATCCAAAAATTACGTCACTGCAACGTCACAATAACGAAATAGAGCTTGCCAATAATAGCGACGTTATCGTAATGGCACCTATGGATGTAGTTTCTACCTCAATAACTTCTAGTTAACTTAGCGTAACAATTTTTGCATAATCATTCCTGACCCTCCCTGACTTCGTCATCCAAAAATTACGTCAATGCGACTTCACAATAACGAAATAGAACTTGCCTGATAATAGCGACAATAAAGAACTCGTAATAATTACGCCTGTGTGTACCTATGGGTGTAGTTTCGTACCTCAATAACTTCTATTAGGCTTAGCGTAACTTTTTGCATATATCATTCCTGACCCTCACCTGACTTCGTCATCCAAAAAGTACGTCAAGAAACGTCACAATCACGAAATACGGCTTGCACAATAATAGCGACGATATTCGTAATGACACCTATGGATGTAGTTTCGTACCTCAATTACCTATAGTTAACTTAGCGTAACAATTTTTGCATATAATATTCCTGACCCTCACCTGACTTCGTCATCAAAAAATTACGCCAATGCGACGTCACAGTAACAAAATAGAGCTGATGACCCGTAATGGCGTCTGCGACTACGTTAACAAACTCAGTGAGGGCAGCGGCCTCCCTACCACACACACATAAGGAGGGACTTGTTATTTTATGTCCAGCCATAGATCATGTATTGGGCTACAATATATTAATATGGCGTTACGCGATATCACTCTAAGCAGGGCTTTAGACAAGCAGAAACGGACATATTAATTTACGTTCACATTATATGGGTGTATTTTGTATTGTGCCACCATTTATCAGTGAGGTTTATATTTTAATTTGTTTTTTGTAAACTATACATTTTGGATAAGATAGTCCGCAGAATCGGGCTTTAACATTGTTTTGGGACATAAAGTTTTTTTTTGTTGTTTAGATATAATGTATGTGACATATATAATGATACCCAGGTGGGTGTGGAGTAATGTTGAGCAATTTTTTTTAAGTGGATTTAAAGTATTCGGTCCAAGATGACGCACATCCTGAACCCTAACCTGGTAACCATACGTGTTCAGGTTGTGCGCCATCTTGGTACAAATACTTCAAGAGCGCCTTTTTGTTAAAAACAATTATTTCATAACTACATGGTTTAGGTTTGCATACATAGTAACATTGAATCTCCTTACAATGTCAGAAATTCAATTTTAGTAGAATAAATGGTAGTTTATTTCACTAATACAAGCCAAGATCCATCGACAGCATCTAGCCACTTTCTATTGCGCTCTTCAAACTACATCTGGCATTTCGTTTTCCTAGTTTAAGCTTAGGGACTTGGAAATATTTTATTAGTTGAATTGGATTGGAATATTTGACCTCGTCTTTCACTCCGAACAAGGCCATGTAATACCATCCACTGGTATCTAAAGATGTGTAACGTGTTTTCTTTTGGAAGAACCGCAACCTGCGTATGCGAAAAATATATCTGTATGCCAACATAGTTGAGTCAAACGTTTTGAATACTAGTACATCACACGCATTTCCTGCGTGCTTCGGTTGTACGTGGTAACGCGCACATTTTTGCGCACATGCATCAAATTCCATTTGATTATTGAGCTATAGGTTTTTGACGAGCTTTTGTGTATGATTTCATTCCATAGAATTTGTATGCTGTTCTAAAGAATACTAGTTTCAGCTTTTTCATTCATTCAAACCGCGTGTTGAAAGTAAGTTTTGTAAT